TTCTTTACCCTATACTCAACGTGAATTGAACCGTTCTAATCTGAAGGGACAATATACTTTCGTAAGCCAGTTCATTTCACTTCATTAGCAAATCCAATGAGGCTACCGAACACTCAGTCAGAGGCTTTCCAGGGGGTTGACGTATAGTTTTAATTCAGCTGCAACCCCACAGAGCCTACCAATCGATCGACGATATAGAGATAACCGAAAGACCGGTTATCTTAACAGGTCCGACTATATATGTGATGTCTGGTAGGGCAATCCAGTTTAATCAGGTTAGGGGATTCAAGAGACGGGTTTTCGGTTGATGCAGGTTGAATTATCCAGCCAATGGACACTAAGTGACATAAGCGTCAAGTCGACCTCTTTCTTGGTTCCAAAATGTTCCAGTAGATCTTTTTGAACACAATGCATAAGTGGCTGGAAATGTTCCGGCCCGTGCAACCTTGCCTTGAAAATCTTGATAGATGAGGTCCTACATAGTTGTTAGATATGGAACAGCGTCAAAGCGGTTATGTCCGGTTAGTCTAGACTGTACGTAAATCTCTAACTCCCAATGTAATGGTGTGAAAATAGAAAAAGTTGAGTAATTGAGACCAACACGGCAAGCAATGAGCGATAAGCTCTAGTCATTTTTCTCAAGTTCTGCTTATGTAAACTTATTTTGTTCAACCGCTGTGATAGCTTCAGTGAATTCCGTCTTGAAAATCATACCAGCAGAAGACAAGTGGGTGCCATTTGGGACTTGGTATTATTCACTCGTTGTAAGTTTTCTTTAACTTATGTTTGTACGGGATGATTCATCCACTCGGCAGACTCTATCAACATTTCCGTGCGCCTGTTCACTAGTGGTTCCACCAACGGCACTTTGCCAACGGCAGAAAGCGTCACACTAACACACGCACTCTCCGATAAATATCAGACAAAATCAGGTTCCCAGCAAACACAGTCAGGTAGTCTACGGTGTCCAAAGTGCATGGCAAATATGGTGGCAACCCACCAAATTGCATGTGAGACACGACCAAGGTTTCGACAGAGAGCACAACCACCCGAACGCACATAAGAGGCAATGGTGTCCTACAGACTGGTGTACAGAAAAACAACAAACTCGATCAATTTAACTTACATAACAACAGGCCCAAGGCATAGTACTTATCTGGTGTTTGAAGAATAAATCGTAACCAGGCCGTTGGATCCATCACGACACCGTACCTGTATGAAAGTGAATAAAGTACCATCACACTGAGTCAACACACGTGAGGCGATTCGATTCAAATCGGTGCTCCCAATGCCTTCATGGAGGATAAGTCTGACTGAATTTAGGTGGAGACTACCGCAACAGAAAATGTATTTGATCGGTGCTTCAGGTGTTCCCTTTCATGAAAATCGATGTAACTTTTTATTCAATGTATTGTTTACCTAATTAGTTCTGGTTCTGCTGACAAAATAAGAGGAAATCACTCTGCACCGAGCAACACTCATACAACTGGCGTCGCCATGACATTTAAGTACTACTTTTTTCGCAAAAAAAAGTAAATTTGCCCGTTTTTCCAGGATAGCTTCTTCAGATAAGATGAGCGTGAATAATTTTGCTGCCCACTGGTCTAGAAATGAACAACGTAAATGTGAAAATTAGGAGGACTGCCAACAACAACAAGCCGAGACCAAAAACATCGAGCACACAAAAACGGATAAATTAGCTAACCTCTATCGCCGAAAATCAAATATTTTTGTGCGGAAAACGGAAAGTTTCAGGGCGGGACATATCGGTTCCATGCTAAAACTCAGAATAAACTCCAAGGGTGCTAAATTCTTTAGCAATAGTCCAATTATTTTTATCCGTATGTAAAATGTGACTTTTAGAATGTTCATAAAGCATTCTTGACAAGTTTCCCGTGATAAGTTCCTTGAATTTTTGTCGTCATCACTGCAGAGCCTCCACCAGCTATTCTACACACTCTTCGGAGACTTGCATTCTTCTCGTATTGTCATTCTAAAGCTTACGTACTACGCCTATATATATATATATATATATATATATATATATATATATATATATCTTCAATTACAGAAAGTGGTGAATCATAAAACGATTCTGAATGGCGCAATAAAACATACAGTAAAGGTATCAATGAGAACACGTTCATTAAAACAACTTGCGGTGATTAAGTAACGAAAGTTGACACGACTGTTATCATCGTATATTCCATGGTGAAAAGTTTTTGCTCTCCTGGCTTTCTACCAAACTGGTAATTCCTCGGCCCCGAGTGAAATCCGCCCTAAATACCAACTTTAGCCTCAACAATGTGTCTTCCTGATGGTGACCACAAAGTTGGGGAATTCATTTTGTAGAGGGCACATAAAGAATGGAATTTTTTGCTAGCTGATGTCTTACTGACGCAAATGGAATTGATCAGTTCGGTTTAGTTCAGTTCAGTTCACGGAACACAAGCAGTGTCCAAGCTAAGAGATTCCGGCTGCCACAGATTGGAGAACGGAAGTTAGGATGGTGGTGCTGGAATACGACGGTTCCATGGATTCTGCCCGTCGGTACAAAAACTCCAACGCAATTCCTGTTTGGCATCACTCTCAGGTAGAATAAGACCAGTAATGTGACATGATAAAGTTACATTCAACGGAAGACAGATTTAGTGTTAGCCAGGCTACAGCAAGGGCTGCGTTGCTGTATGGTTTCTAAACATGGCTTCTGTGGACAGATGATGTGAAGCGTCTTCAGGGTTTTGACCACGGATGCCTCAGAAGCGTGGCCTGTTTTGGATGGCCTCAACGGATCAGTAACGAGGTGACTAGAAAAAGGTTGTTTGGTTGTGCAACAGGTATTTCAATCACGGAAAACATCCAGCATCATCAGTTGCAGTGTTTCGGCCATTTGCTGTGCATACCGACACACCGGTACCGAGACGAGTGTTGTCCTCCTTGCCTCATTTAGAATGGCGCAAACCGCGAGATGGACAACATACAACTTGGCGGAAGAGTGTGGAAGAAATCATTAAGAGTTTGGGTGTTGTCGGTATTGTATGCCTCCCAGGAAGGAGTGTCCGTGACCCAGCCTGCGCTTGACTGAAGACATTGCACTTAATGGCGGCTGCCCAATGTCAGTGGCATTTGTGCTGTCAGTTTCTTTCCACGTTGTTTGATTGAGCGCCTGGATATGGAGACACCTCAGAATAAATTACATCGGAAAGTACAAAGTTCGCTCATTCATCCATTAATTTTCTTCTTTTCACTCTAAGGTTTTAAATACAATTAGATGAATACAGTCATATGCAAACCAATTTGGTTTTCACGAGGGACTCAACTGAATCTCTCGTTTATGATATTCAACAGTTTTCAGCAGCCTTGTGAGTAGCTTCCTTTATGAAAATAATTAGATGAACTTTGTGACTGTACGGCAGTGAAGCATCGGTGTAAATACTGATTTTGCTGTATCTAATGATGATGATGATGACAATGATTTACTGCGATGTAACAGTTCAAGGTGATTTCACACCCCTCGTTTGGTGGATTAGAACAAATCAAAAGCGGACTCGCTTCGCTCAAGTAACATACGACTCTTGTGAATGTTGTGTTCCTTATGCTCACGTTAGTGCAAACAACAAGATTCGGCAACGTAACGGTGGATACATAGTGTTCATTCTTGTTCGGTAAAATCCGAAGTTTGTCATGTAGTTGATGGTCAGCATAATCCTATCGTTTGATGATTCACCAGAATCCATTTAGTCGTGATCTACTTAGAACGCGTGTCTATCGGCAGGAATGGACGTTCACGGGATTTGACAAAGACCACGCAAATATACGGAATATTTGACGAAAAGGTAACAGGAGGTTAGAACTACATGAACGAACTTGATATCATAGAGAAACAAATGATAGATTAAAGCGTCGAATCTCAGAGCCAAGAACTGTTCAGTATGCTGTCACGTGGATCGCGATTGGCGCTAATGTCATGTGTGTTAAATCCAGGCAAGTTCAGACACGTGAACGGATGAAGCCCGCATGTCTCGGATCATTTACTGACTTCATGAAAGTCAAACTGTCTGTGACCTAGAACGGATGAGCATGTCTCGGATCATTTACTGACTTCATGAAAGTCAAACTGTCTGTGACCTAAACGTCGGGTTGTTCCAGTTAAAGTCAAGTCACAGTCTCGAGCACTTTCACTAAAATACAAAAATTTACAATGCCCGAACTTCTCTAAATTTTCCACGCTGAGCACTAAGAAAGCATCAGAAATTTCAAGACTTATTAAGAACTTGCGACAACAACACAGCTCCCAAAACGATAAGGTTGTCACTCTGCCCACAAACCGGAAGGCCAATCAGTTGCTTCCCCTCAATCTAGTTTTGGCTGTGGATTGAAAGTGCACTGCTGGCTCATTTGAGATGGACTGTCAGTCGATGGTATAGATATACAATATGTGAAAGCCTGGCTTATTCGAGTGCACGTTATAAAACGAATACATAGAGTTAGGATCGAATTGCTGATCTCTTGCTTATCGGATGGACGCTGTACCAGTTGCTAGACTGCGAACATTGCCAAATGTCAGGCATATGTTCTTGAGATCTTGAAGAGTTTGTCCGCGCACTTACCTAGTGAATTAACCGTTAACTCTGAAAGTGAATCATTCATATGGAATCCACAACAGCCAAGGCCTCGACACAAAATGATGCGGACAACCAGAGGGTATCGACCGCAGTGATGCAAAAAGAATGGGTTTGGTGAGTCTTGGTTGAAGAGACAGGTATACTCGACTGTAAAGACACCCGTGCTCGGTAATAAGTTCAGTTGTTTGCGTTAACCAAGAAGGAAGGTCAGGAAGGTCACATTCCTGATTACCCCAGAATAACCGAAACCTACTGAGATATTCAAACTCGACTGGATGCCGATCAGACAGTCCTGGATCGGGATCAGACAGTGCACTTCAAAGTATAGCGTGAGATATTTGGATGAAAGGCAGACAGTGCGAAACAGTCTTGAATCAAGGTCAGACAGTAGCCCCCTGAAATATTGCGCAAGGCTGTCGTACTTTTCGCTTGTTCGCAATAGAACTGTTGTGTTCCTTGTCGGCTGGCCTTTTTTCCCCGTACTGGGCACTGGGGCGGGGACAGCAGACACATATAACAGATTGAAGACAGATTGAACTCAGAACCATGACAATAACTACTGAAGCGTTGAAAGAAGTTCTGCCACGACAACAAAATCAGTTTGAAGCGGCACACTTGCGTTTGGTGAAAACCTTGACGCAGCAACTCAAAATTCAACCACCCATATTAAAACTCAGTCGACTCGACCGCCAACAGCATCACGGAGTTTCATTATGACCCTGATGCCGGCCTAACTTTCGATTCGTGGTTCGGACTATACGAAGCTATTTTCCAAGTCGAACTGAAGCACAAAGATGATGTCTGGAGAGTGCACTTGTTGATCAGGAGCTCAGTACAACTGAACGCGTGCCGTATTCCAACTTCATTCTGCCAAAGAACACTCGAGATCTCAGTTTTGACAGAATCGTGCAGCAACTTCAACAATTTTCGGTGAGCGCTCGTTTCTGTTTAATATCCGCTACAATGGTACGGAACAAGTGATAAAGGGATCTAAAGACTATATCACTTATGCCAGTAGAGTTAATCTTGAATGTGGACAATCCAGGTTATCTATCATGACTGAAGACCAGTTCATTTTCAAATGTGGCATTCAGTAGCATTCAGTGATAGCAGAGCGAGGCTAGTGAACTAGACTGAGCAATCTTCCCAGGTAACGCTGCAGTCCATTATTCATGAGCACCAGCGCTTCTTGAATCTTAAACACGAGACGGCCATGTTGGAGAGACCATTATCCAACCCTGCGGCACATGTTTTCAATATTCGGTATCCCGGAAACTACCGTGTTCGACAATGGTACTCAGTTCACATCTCACCAGTGTGTCGAATTTGTTCGACTACATGGCATTACACATGTTACTTCCTCATCATTCCATTCGCAATCTAGTGGTCAAGCTGAACGGTTCTAAATGCGCGTTTACAAAAGCAGAAGGGGAAAGGAACATGGCAGAAGTCTTGGATTCGTTCTCGCGGAATTACGGAGCAACTCCTTATCCACAGTCTCCAGACGGTCGCTCTCCAGCAGAGGTTATGATGAAGAGTCGGTTGAGTCTTGCCCACAACGCTATCCTGCCAACACTCAAGTTTTTTTTCAGTCACCGACAGGAGGGAACCCAACGTTCCCATTCATCCATTAATTTTCTTCTTTTCACTCTAAGGTTTTAAATACAATTAGATGAATACAGTCATATGCAAACCAATTTGGTTTTCACGAGGGACTCAACTGAATCTCTCGTTTATGATATTCAACAGTTTTCAGCAGCCTTGTGAGTAGCTTCCTTTATGAAAATAATTAGATGAACTTTGTGACTGTACGGCAGTGAAGCATCGGTGTAAATACTGATTTTGCTGTATCTAATGATGATGATGATGACAATGATTTACTGCGATGTAACAGTTCAAGGTGATTTCACACCCCTCGTTTGGTGGATTAGAACAAATCAAAAGCGGACTCGCTTCGCTCAAGTAACATACGACTCTTGTGAATGTTGTGTTCCTTATGCTCACGTTAGTGCAAACAACAGGATTCGGCAACGTAACGGTGGATACATAGTGTTCATTCTTGTTCGGTAAAATCCGAAGTTTGTCATGTAGTTGATGGTCAGCATAATCCTATCGTTTGATGATTCACCAGAATCCATTTAGTCGTGATCTACTTAGAACGCGTGTCTATCGGCAGGAATGGACGTTCACGGGATTTGACAAAGACCACGCAAATATACGGAATATTTGACGAAAAGGTAACAGGAGGTTAGAACTACATGAACGAACTTGATATCATAGAGAAACAAATGATAGATTAAAGCGTCGAATCTCAGAGCCAAGAACTGTTCAGTATGCTGTCACGTGGATCGCGATTGGCGCTAATGTCATGTGTGTTAAATCCAGGCAAGTTCAGACACGTGAACGGATGAACCCCGCATGTCTCGGATCATTTACTGACTTCATGAAAGTCAAACTGTCTGTGACCTAAACGTCGGGTTGTTCCAGTTAAAGTCACAGCTTAGTCTCGAGCACTTTCACTAAAATACAAAAATTTACAATGCCCGAACTTCTCTAAATTTTCCACGCTGAGCACTAAGAAAGCATCAGAAATTTCAAGACTTATTAAGAACTTGCGACAACAACACAGCTCCCAAAACGATAAGGTTGTCACTCTGCCCACAAACCGGAAGGCCAATCAGTTGCTTCCCCTCAATCTAGTTTTGGCTGTGGATTGAAAGTGCACTGCTGGCTCATTTGAGATGGACTGTCAGTCGATGGTATAGATATACAATATGTGAAAGCCTGGCTTATTCGAGTGCACGTTATAAAACGAATACATAGAGTTAGGATCGAATTGCTGATCTCTTGCTTATCGGATGGACGCTGTACCAGTTGCTAGACTGCGAACATTGCCAAATGTCAGGCATATGTTCTTGAGATCTTGAAGAGTTTGTCCGCGCACTTACCTAGTGAATTAACCGTTAACTCTGAAAGTGAATCATTCATATGGAATCCACAACAGCCAAGGCCTCGACACAAAATGATGCGGACAACCAGAGGGTATCGACCGCAGTGATGCAAAAAGAATGGGTTTGGTGAGTCTTGGTTGAAGAGACAGGTATACTCGACTGTAAAGACACCCGTGCTCGGTAATAAGTTCAGTTGTTTGCGTTAACCAAGAAGGAAGGTCAGGAAGGTCACATTCCTGATTACCCCAGAATAACCGAAACCTACTGAGATATTCAAACTCGACTGGATGCCGATCAGACAGTCCTGGATCGAGGTCAGACAGTGCACTTCAAAGTATAGCGTGAGATATTTGGATGAAAGGCAGACAGT